ATCGAGCAGCTTTATATTTTTAATCATTAAGAAACGATTGTCTATTGTTAAAAAATCGAAAAGAAGAATGATCTAATATGGTGGGAATAAATATTCAAGTAGACATCAAATAATAGATGAGAAATATACAGAAATAATTCCGATATTCTCTTTCTCTTCTTTTAGATTATTTTTAATGAGACAAACTTTTATATACAATTCTCGTTTTTTACATGTAGAAATATATAATTCTCTCTCGAATTCTCGTATTATCTCGAATTAGAAAAAAATATTATACATATATTTTTTAATTTAATTATCATGTATAATATAAATTAATATTTAAATGTCAATCTTAATATTAATATATATTTATATGTATAATTAAATATTAATTACAATATATTTTTATATATTTAACTGCGCACAAAAAAGAAATTCTTAAATACATGAGCTATAAATTGTAGGTTATAGATTATAATTTATATATGGTAAAAAAAACTCTATCGTCAAAAAATCGAAAAGAAGACTAAAAATAATTTAATATAATGAGAAAAATATCCAAGTAGAGATCAAATAATCGATAAGAAATGTTAGAGTAAATGTCAGGATTAATTAAATGTCAGGATTGTTGTAAGATTATTGAACGTAGAAATTTCAATGAGACACCTAGAAAGAAGGGAACGTAAGAACGTTGCCCATCAAAAATTTCTTCGCCGATCTTAACGAGGTTACAACGTTTAACGAATCCTTTCCAAGCTTCGTCTCCTCGCCGCAAGTAAATCGAAGATAAACCTCGGGGTTTAACCAGGGCTTAACCTATGCTAAAGCGCGCTAAACCTCCTAGACTCGACCACATGGACGACTGGTTACATAGATTACAATGCAGTTTAATTGAGTTACCGCGCTAATGGCTGCAAACACCACCTGTCCATTCATTGGATTTTTTTGTGCCCTCCCCTTTATTACTTTTTTTATATTACGTTTTATTGAAAAAAAACATCTCTCGCATATCGCAGGAAATTAATTTAATCGTGCAAAAAAATTCTAGTATATATCAATTCATATGTTCGCCATATGCGTGGTTAAGTGCCCGAAATACCCTAATACATGTGCATCTCTTTGATATTTTATTTAATGTTTTATAAAGCATAATTCATAACATGACAGAAATATGAAAAAATCGTATAGCTGTTTTTCTAAGTTTTTTACATCTGCATATATTTTAATCGAAATTATTTCTGATTAAATTCAATATTTAAGGGAGGGGAAAAAAGTAAGCTCTCGAATTGTGCGACTTATTCGTTTACCCTGACACATTTAACAATATGTCGCGCGGTAACGGAAGGAGCGACTTTTATCGATATATCAATTAATCCTACAATTAAATATCTCGTCGCCAATATTGTGAAATCGCGCGTGCGAAAAGTACGATGAACGGTGGAATTTTGATAGAATGACGCCGCAACGCGAGCGTCATCGTGTCGAGCTGCCGAGATTATAAAACAATTGAATAAATCTACTCCCCATCGGGCGACATCCGCAGGAAAGAAACGTCGGCGGGATAGACAGAGAAGTGGAAGAAGAAATCTCTGAACTCCTCCCTTCCTCTCGCCTATATACCCCAACTTCTCCGAGATTCAAATGGCCTCGTTTCAAATCGATTTCGAATTATCTTCGGCGAGCGGATTCTGGCGGAACGAGAGAAAAGAGGGTCCGCCGGTGTAATGGAGGAAACGGTAGTGAGTAAGAGGTATGAGAACGAAATGGCGGAAAGGGTAAGAGGAGAGGTGGGAGGGACGGAAGGGGGTGGGAAAAGAGTGAAAAACTTAAGGGACTTTTACTGGCCGAGAGAAAATGTTTGCCGGCGAGACAAAGACGTTCGACTGTCGCGTTTCTTCTCTGATTAAATAGGCAGGACCTATAGCTTTTTACGTAATGCACTATGACACAGGCGAGACTCTGTGAGATATTCTTCTTATAATCTCGCGCTTTCGTTCCTTTTTCCCGCGTATCGAACTTTCACAGCGTATTTCAACAAAGTAAAAGAAGAATCGAGAAATAGAATGAAGTAAAAATCTTTCTTAAACGTCTTTGTATATGTGTGTATACAGAGCATTTGAGAAATAAATGGCTAAGGAGATTCTACCCACCATGAGAAAGAAAAAAAGTTCTAGGAATATAAGTTCAGCACATTTTCTTTTTGTGTTATTTCTTAGATCATTTTTTTCTTCAAAACTATATATGTGCAAGAAGCTTATTTCCGTATTTAAAACAATTAATTTTTAATAAAACTTGTAATTGTTAGAATTTTTATTTTTACTTTTTTACCAATAAAATAATTGAAATATGTTGAAATATAATAATAACTTCTGTATAATTTATTTTAATAATTATTAATTTTTAGGATTTAATAATAATAATTCATGTAGTTAAATTTAATAATTTTATATTAATATATATACACAATTTATTTATTATAATCTGATTATAATTCCATAAAATCTTATGTTTAAAATATTTAGATGTCTTTTTTGCATAAGAAGCAAAATCTGAAAGCAGAGAGATCTTTAAAAGAAATTTTTTCCATATTTTCGGAATATCCTAAATTCATATTTTATTTTAAGATGTTTTTAATCCTGAAATAATTCTGGAATATATATATAATTTTATATAATTATTTTATTACTTTCTATAAAAATTCTTCTATAAAAATTTCATTATTGAAATTCGAGAATGACTTTTAATATATATATATATATATATATATATATATATATATATATATATATATATTAAAAGTCATTCTCGAATTTCGATAATGAAATTTTTATAGAAGAATTTTTATAGAAAGTAATAAAATAATTCTATTATTGAAATTGGAGAATGACTCTTGATAATGTAATTACTATTTTAATAATAGTTTTTGATAATACAACTTTATAATTATACATTGCACGCGCGAATTTCACATTGCGCCAACAACTAGCCCGTAAATTAGGTAGTAGACGGCGGTCGCAGAACTTTTGAAGGCCCGGCCTGCCTCTCGCCTGATTAAGCGGTTCGGCCTGCATTTGGCAACGGCAAACGACGCCAGTGTATGCGCCGACTCTAGCTACTTGTTGGCCGTGACATGCGGCTGTTCCACTACGCGAGTTCGTTCCCGGTTGCAAGTTTCAGCGGAGTACGATATTAGCACTAGCATTTGTCCCGCCTCTCATTTTGTCGCGAAAACAGGGACAGAGTAAGACATAATATGCTGCTCACCCTTTCGTAGTTAATTAAACCGACAGATTTGTTATGGTGACATGTAACCATGCGGCGGCTCCTTTCGCGACTGCTGAAACTGTTTAAACCATATTTCGTCGCGCACCTTGGTACATCTCTAGAACATAATAGCAGAATATATATATCCATTAGTCCTTAATGTTAATGTTAACACGATGTTTGAACGGCAATTGATCAAATGAAACTTGATTTTCCTTCGCGAAAATACCGAGAGGACTCGTCATCCGTTCCAATTTCGCGATCTTCAATATTCGATTCAGTTAAATTATAATTGAATCGAAAAATATGAGGAAAGAAAAAAAAATATTTCTTTCTTATTAATTTTTATTTTATGTCTTTTTGCTATACAACGAAAATTTGCGATCGCTATGATCTGGAATATCAATGATGTATCTCGCAAAAATGTAAATAGAAGAAAAACACAAAATATTTTTTTTTCATGAAACACAAGGTTTTATGAAAAAATAACAAGCCTTGTTTTTTATCAAAATTTTGCTTTTTTTCTTCAAATATTTAACATTTTTATATTTTGATTATTGCAAGTTGATTTTTTTTTCATTCTTTAGATGATGTATTCGGACTAATCATCATCACATTATTTTAAATGTAGACCGACAAAATTTTAATTGGCTATAGAGTTATGTAAATATTATTTTTAATCCAGTAAATTCTCTAAAACAAATCAAAATTGAGTTTAAATGAATTGTTTTCATTATAGATACAAAAACAGAGATTGTAATTTTATAAAATTTTTTAAATTTTGTAATCACTATTTTATTATAATTACTATTTTAATATAATAAAAAAACTAAAGTTCTTACTTTAATGAATTGATGAAATTTTTGCTATTAAGATAGAAAAACGTATCAAATATGACGTAATTCGGTTAATTTTTAATTAAACATAATAAAGATTTTTGTTATGCAATCTGACTGAAAATTATGCAAATTATCGTGCTTGACATGTGTAATTTGCCGTAAAAATCTCATTAATTCATTAAAATTATTTTCAAAAAGAAATAAATTGAAAAATTTTAGTTCTTCTTTTATCATATTAACAAAAAATATAAAGAAAAGTAACATTATATTTTAAAAAATACTGAAAAAAAGAATCAATTAATTTTTTTCAATATTTATTTTCTATTAGAAAGAAACGATTTTTTTACGTTTCTATCCTTTAGATATATAAAGTACGACATGGAAACAGTAATAGTTCTTTTTGTGCGCGCAGACTCTTGATGACCCTCGTTATACGAATACGACTCGTTACCTTGTTCGAGTTGTAATAGTGTTATATTGCACGTGCAACAGTATTATGTATATGCTCCTTCGTAATCTCTTGCAAGATACTTCTCCTCTTTGTCTTTCTCGCGGTCGTAAAAGTGCTCGGTCTACTCGGTGGTGACATCCCTTGGAAAGGGAAAAAAAAAAGAAATGACACGATAACGAACGGTCGTAACAGACAGGAAGACATCGCTGCGGTCGCGCTTATCTCTAATTTATCGTGAAATTAAAAAGTAACGAGAAATGAAATCGCGCGCTCGATCTCGCGGCAGGACAAGTCCTCTCGCGGGGAAAACGAAGTTGCTGCTTCTCTCTTAGACATTTATTTGATAAATACATACATCTCTTTGTATTGTATAGCTATAATTTAGAAATTATATATGTGTGTGTGTGTGTATCATGTTTTTTACCGTATCGAACTTATCCAAAATTGTTTCGTTTTCTTTACAGAATCAAATCCTGGCGCATAATACATCGGCAAGGATTATCTGGTCAAATCAGAGTCTCGTCTTGCAAAGTGTGACAAGAAGCAGCGCCGGTCGTTACGTTTGCGCGGCAACAAACGATCTGAACGAGACGCGTAGCGAGCCGTTGCATTTTCGAGTTAAATGTAAGTAAAGTGTATGATTATTTATTTATTTGTTTATTGAGAACGTTAATTTTACGAATAAGTACATGAAATGGTTACAAGAGTTGGTAGAATTAAAATATAAACAAAAATATATTCTCTCTTAAATGGATTTATTATCACTGAAGAGATGTGGTTTTAGTTATAGTACTAGAAACAGAAAATGTAATTTTACTTTTGGAGAAAAACCAATTAGTGACTAATTTTTCAACAAAATATTATTATGTAAATAGATAGTGAAGAAATATACTTATTGATTTTTCATGAAATTTACAATTTTGTCACCGAATCTTGTTTTGATCAGTGACATTTCATTCATTCAATTTCGGAAAAGAGAAAACAAAATGAAAAATATATAAAAATTTAATAAATATAATATGTATTAAATATATATAATATATATATATATATATATATATAAAATATATAATAGAGAGAAATAATATAGATAAAAGTAGAAATATCATTTTCAATATTTTAAAATTAATTCGGAGAAATGTACGAATATTAATAACTGAAAAGTGAAGATAAATTATTGCAGATTAAAAACTAAAAGCGAGATATTAGAAATTATAAATTATATTCTCGACGAAAACAGATTTTTGGAAAAGAGTGATTGGATAATCTTTCATTATCGCGCATCAACATGCAATGGAAAAATTAGAAATAATGAGAAATTATAAATTGCACTTGAGAATTGTTTGTTGTATAATAACACCGACGATTTCTATTTTCGACCGATTTAATCTGCCGATCGTATCTGCCTGCTCGATAAATATATATATATGTACATGTATGTGTACATATATTAACTCAGGCGTCGCGTACATCTCGGAAATCACATTCGGTATGAATATTTCAAGAGTCCTTAGCGCCAGCTACATTTTTTAAACCCAATTCCCGGGTTATGGTCGACTGTCGGCGCGGAAGGTGCTCTGAGTTTCGTGAAAGGAGTGATTCGTAGCATACCTAGGAATAAGGCGGAACCACGTGCACGCGGTTCTCGCTCTAGCGTACGAATTACCAAAGCGGTACTTCCTTCGCGCAAGTAAGGAAGCTTTTCTACGGGAGAGAAGCATGAAAGGACTCGCGTAGTTCTCTTGAAGAACGCACAATTTGCGAGATATTTGGGAACATCCAAATTTCAGTTTGAAAATTACGAAGCGCTGCCGCTAGCTTTAGAAAGTTTCTGAAATCTTCGCGAGAATATAATGCTCGCGGTTAATGATTAATTTAAAAATATCTTTTCTCTTTTTTCAATATATTGGAATGAAATTTTATAATTTTTTGAAAGATTATAAACTTTTATTTCAATATATTGAAATATATTGAATTTATGAACTAAGTTAATTTCTTAACTCGTTAAATTTCATTTATTTTAACGACTTTCGTAAAGGTATAACTCGACGATTCACGCAATGAGTTTGATTTGATCCTAATAAGACTGTTCTAAAATAATCAGCACGCAAGAGATATTTAATACGAAGCCCTGACGGCGCTTTCACGAGTTCCAATTCCGCAGACAAGCGCGATCCTCAATATATTTAACTATGGATGACGACCTCGTAAAGGTAGAGGAAATAGTCTCGCATATAAGCGACCATCTCGCAAGTACTCTCAAGAAATCGAAATCGGGAATTGTTTCGGTGGTTTATTTTCTCGGATATATTACATAGCATTGTGTTTGGAAAGAGGAAATAACGTTTGGTTTATGCTATCGACACTATCGTAATATAATAGAATTTAGAGCAGTCGGACACAAATGTTAAGTGAATTTAAAGGAAATATGGCAAAGGCGATTCGATACATATTCGTTTATTTTCTGTCCTTATATAACACACATACACACACACATATATGTATATAATAATATTAAAAATCTAAAAAAATATTTATATAAGTAAAGAAATTCTTGACAACTTATCGTCAGAATTTTTATTTTTTTAAAGTGACAGTCTTGATATTTTATTAGTATTGTAGTATTTTCACATAAAATTCTTATAATTTTTATTATACTTTAATTATATACATGTAAATAATATTTTCGTTGCATAAAAGCGTAAAGTAAATTATTTTCAATTTATCTATAATAAAGTTTATAACTCGCACTCTTTAAAATTGCTCGGTAAAATTGCTTCAACTTGTAAGTTTTATTCACAAAGTTGATAGTCTACGTTATCAATTAATTATAAATACTGTACAAAATCATCGTTAAACATCAAAAAGCACGCCGATTTTAGCGATATACTTGGTAATCGAATATTATACACGCGCGGCGATATAAAATTGAACGATATTAATTAATGGCTATAACGAAATCGTTTTGTTACTTTTTGATGCATAAATGTTAATTAAATTTCACTTAATTGAAATCGTGCTGTAGTTACACAGTATCGTATTTCCCTTTTTCTCTCTCAAAATACGATTTATTATTAATTTTAAACCATTCAATTCATTGTACAGCCAGAGAGCCTACACATGTGACATGTAATTCAATATATGACACATTTATTTCATTTAATATTAACAATTTACATTTTTTTAACCTTTAAAATCTCTTTAAAATATAAAGATGGAACACAATACAAATATACAAAAAATATTTTTTATTCTCTTCAAGTAAATAGTAATTTTAATTATCGTACACTCATTAATAGAGCCAATTATCATTTTTCCGATATTATGATTACTATAATGCTGTAATGTTATCCTTATTTTAATGATAAATGTACGTGCAATAAAGTGCAGTGTGTAGATTACGATTACGAGTTGGTTTAATGCGGATATCGTTCGCATAAATCCTCGTGTACTTTATTTACACGCCGTAAATAAAATCCATTATTGTGTGTCGCGCGTTTACTTTACTTTTATATCATAAAATTTCTCTCGGTGTCGCATTTATTTCGCGTCCACTTGTGTCCGGACTAAAAAGTCATGATCAAAGTTCAAATACGAGACAATTGAAAATATCGCAGCAAGAAATAAGATCAATAACGCTTAAATATACACGGCGTTTAAATTCAATATCAAATCGTTAAAAAGCTTCAACCATCGCTGCATTACGGCTATATCATCGAAAATTAATATCAATTGCTTGTCTTACGCAATCGAGTTACAATAGGAAATCTACCGTAATTATGAACGTAATAAAGCAGAAAAGTCCGCGATAAAAGTAATACATTCAAAAGCGCGAGAGACCCGCTGATTTAATAACGAATACTTTCAACTTGACCGGTTAAATATAAGCTTTTGAATCTGGATTTATGTTCGTTTATATACATATTTTTTTCGCTGGTCGCGAGTAGCATTATACATCAGCATTTCGATCTTTATTCCGATTGTCGTGTAATATCAATTTTGCCCCAGAAAGACGTCTCGTTCAGCGTTACACGATAACACACGTACACGTCCCCCTTTCTCCCCTCGCTCTTTTCGGAGACGAAGAGACGAAGAGACGAATGGAGACAAAGAGAGGCGGAGATAAACGCAGATAAATTGGAACTCAGATATATATCGTTGCGAGGAAAGACTAAGGCAGGAGGGAAAAAGAGACAGTAGACCTTTTTTGCATAACTCTCGTGTTGATAAAACGATTCCACCGTCGGTTACACGCCAGGATCCTACCCCTCTTCGTGACAAAACGTCGAGGCGTGTCGGAAAAATCGTCCGTACGATATCGCTGTCGTTTGCGTGTTTTCCCAGATGTAGCCGCGATATGTGGGTCATCATTGGCATATCGTCAGAAACGGGAGAAATCTCCCGTTCGTGTACAGATAACGCCGAGACGGTGCCCGGATCTCCTCGCTTTGCATTTCGCTTTATCTCGCGGCTTTTTTCCCCTCGGAAAGATCTCCTTTTCTTCCATCCTCCGATATTGCTAGAATGACATAAAATAACACGTATGGCGCTATCGCTGGAATGAATTATTCTCGCATTAATAATAAACACGTGATAATTTATTATACTCTCTTTCGCGAAGTCTAGATTCGCGTTGGAATCGGAGTTGAGCTAATCTGTCAAATATACATTAATAGCAGTAGAATTAAATATATTAATAATAATTAATTTCTTTTCTATTAATGTTAAATACATTAATAACGATAAATCTTCTTTGTTAATTTTTTTATCAAACATTTATGCATACATGTAAAACAATCAGTCACACCTTAAAACGTGCAGCGATTAAAACTTTCGAATCTTCGAGGGAAAAGGAGCAAGAAGAACAGCTGATATTTAATTTACATCCTTTTCTATCACCGGAAATTGTGCGCCAATTTTCCGTCGCATTTTGCGAAATTAAATTGTCATGCATAGAGATCGCTCTTTCTCCTGATCCGTAAAATTTGAAGACGTTAGCTCTTGGAAAATTTCAGAGATCTCGATTAATTGTCATAAATTCCGCGAATCCTGCGATAAATTCCGCCAGCGTCAAAGGCTCCGAGACGCTTGGCGGAAGAGTACCTGGTTCTCCTCTCGCCCTTCTCTCACTGCACGTAATAAATCGATAACTCTGCTTACAGTCGCGCCAGTATGCAAGGAGGACCGGATCATAGTGGTCGGCGCGTCGAGGGGCGAGTCGCTCGACATCGCCTGTAGGGTCGAGGCTGATCCGCCGGCGCACAATTTCCGGTGGAAATTCAACAACAGCGGCGAGACCCTGGAGGTAGCACCTGGTAGGTTCTCCATGGAGAAGTCGAGCGGCGTCAGCGTGCTGAGATACACGCCGACCAGCGAGCTGGATTATGGTACACTCTCATGCTGGGCGGACAATCTCGTCGGTACCCAATCCAGGCCGTGTCTATTCCAGCTGGTAGCAGCCGGTGAGTGTGCACGATAAACTACGTGTGATGTTGAAGAGGCATTTTATCCGGCGGACTTCTTCCGGAAATCGCGTTTCGTAATCGAATACGGTATATATTGACGTGACAAAGCTTTTATTAATCTATCGGTGTCCTTTTAGTTGAATGTAATTATATCTCTGTAAGAAAGCGCCACGGAAATTTAATTGAAATCCGAAATAGAGATTCGAAATGGTTGAGAATTATTTGTTTTATTCCTTGTACTTTTATTTATTCTCGAGTATCTCGAAGATTAAAAGCGGAAGAAGCATCCTTTATATATATATTTAAAGCTGCTATTTGTTTGGAGTACGTTATTGGATTATGGATAATTAGATTACAGAGACCGTCAACATATTTGTTTGAAACTCCAGAATGAAAAGCAATTCCGAGTGTTTGAGAAAAAAGACATTTACATATATAAATAGATGACTAAGATATGGGATGCAATTTTTAAGGAAACATGATCGATATTTAATTTCATGTTCACGAAATTAATAATGCACAATGTCGAGAAAAGAGTAAAGAAATGTGATGCAATAAATTTTGCGCTGAATTAAATATATTTTTAATCGCGCCAACACAACTAGACAAATGGCACGAAAATGGCGACGATTAAAATGTGCAAAATCTCCGCTGTTTTTATGAGGTCTCCGAGGAAAAGAACGCGAGAGCAGTTCGTCCGCGAATCATCCACCCGCGAGTACAATGGCGAAGCGACCAATCATCGAGCGTTAAATCGGCATTAATCCCTAGACGAATTTTTTCGCGTTTCCTCGTTTCCTCTTTTTTTTCCCTCCCCTCTCCTCCGCTCTCCATGGGTGATCGACAGTGACGTTGACATGGCGATCGGCCGAGAACGTATTGACGTTGACGAATACGTCGAGTGTTAGCGGCACCTATATGTGTGTGTATGTGTGCGTGTGTGTGTGTGAGGGAGCGCTCTCCCCTCTCGAAAATAAAATCTGTCGTCCTTGTCGTTCTCGCGTATCCACCATGCTTCCTCGCCTCCTGTCGAGGGTCTCTCTTTCTCTCTCCCGCGGTGCTCCGCCGATGCCAACGATCCGTAAACTCGATGGCATGAAATTATTTTTGTACCCTCTCCGTTCTCTCCTTCCTCCGCGACGTTATTGATGTCGGTTACCATTCCCGCAAAGCATTTCGGCAAGGAATACGCTCATCGAAGCATGATGAAACGGTAAAGAAACGGGATTTCCGGGACAGAATTTCTCGCGATAGAATCGAGTGTCGTGTAAGACGTTACTTGTTACGCATATCGAGCAAATATAATTGGTGTTCCGCGACGTATCGCGATCCGAACGAATGTGCGAAGATATTTCGCCCGAAAAAAATTCGTGACGAGTAAAAGAAAAGACCAATATATCTTGAAAAATAATTCGCAAATTTAAAGAAAATATTCATAATATCAAGGATAGATAAAACATATGACTCTATGGCTTAAGAAAGCATTGCTTTTTCCAGAGAGAGCATTGCTTTTCCAGAGATCCAATTTATCATAACTCACTTCCTCTTCTGAATTAAACGCAAAATTTTGTGGCCTGTCTAGTTTTGCTTACATTACCACATGTTTTGGTTGGAGCTGATTTTTAGATGAACGTGAAGAGAGAAATATCATATACAAGAGAAATATGTCGTTTCGCGAGTCATCCAATTTGACGAACTTAGCTATCTTCTTTGCTTACAAAACTAATTTGAATTTGCCTTTATCTCAGCGGGGGGTCCTTTACTAGTGCAAAAGCGCGAGATACAACTGTTTTCTCGCGGAAAATGAAGTCCGAGCTACGTATAAAGATACTTAAGAGACAAAAGGGCAAAAGGGACGAACGGAGGAGAGAGAGCAAGCGCATATAAAGTACAAACGAAGCATTGTCGAGATTCAATATACGTCCTGTAGATCCGTGAGTTATAATATAATGAAAAGCACGATGACAACGACGACTTTGTGATTAACGTGAAAGAAATGAAATCCCGAGCGTCTCAGCGAATGAAACGAGGAATATCGAAAGACAGCGATAAGAGGATTCCGCGCAGAATCGAAACGCAAAAGACGGGAACACGCATCCAAATCGATCGATCATCGAAAATGATAAGATATCGAGCTCCTGTGATTCCAACAAGGCGCAAAAATTGATTTCGAAAAAGCGCTTTTGACGAAGGCAAGATTCCGATGGCGAAGAGTTTGGGAGGGACTCGGGTCGCATCGCGATAACGCGACAGAGAAGGGAGGGTGAGAGGAAAAAGAGAATGAAATATCTCTACGTCCATTACTATCCTGGTACACTAAATCTCTTGCTGTTCCTAGACACGCGAGAATTTTTCACTCGCATACCAGGCTTGATTTCCGAGAGAACGACGGACGGTGGTCTCGCCCTCCCGAGCTAAACCTGTGGAGTCGTTCTTTCGGAAACGCGTGCAAAAAATCCAGGAATGTCACGCGAGAGGAAAATGGTCATATCGTTAAAAGAGATTTAGTGAGAAAAAGAGAGGGGAGAAAATCTCTCGCAGCCTCTTTCCACCCACATCCAAGTTCTATCTTTGAATTGAAGAGATTGTTCGGCCATAAGTCGCATAATTTACGATTTCTCTGCTTTATAAATGACCTGCTTTTCTTTCAGGAAAACCGTTTCCGGTGCGCAATTGCACCCTGGCGAATCAGACCTATACCAGCGTGGAAGTGAAGTGCGTCCCGGGATATGACGGCGGGCTCCCGCAGAAATTCGTCCTGGAGGTCTATCACGGTGACGTCGACTTCCTCACTAGCAGCCAACCTCTCTACAACGTCTCTAACCCGGACGAACCGATCTTCGCCCTGGCCGGGCTGGAGGCCTCGGTCGAAGCCGGAGTTCACGTAGCGGTCTACGCAGTCAACGCCAAGGGCCGAAGTCAACCCGTCACCCTCAGCGAAGTCACTTATCGAGATGCCGAGAAACGCACCGGTAAGTACAATTTTAAATTTTATGAGTTTAATTTTTATATTTAAATTTTAGAAATAAAACGAAAGACACGTTTTAATGTTTTTACTACATCAAACGATAGATTTATCGCTTCGGAGCGAAAAATCGCGACATTTATATCGCGATATTTTGTTTATCGAGATCAACGCGGTATTAAAACCGCAAAATACACGACCGCAATTTTTTTATGGTATTTTCGTTACGTTATTATTTATTTTACGCGAGAATACTTTTAAAAACATTGATGCATGGACGCGAATTGAGCTATCTCGATGGAGAATGAAAAATTGTCTGTCACTTACAAGTCGACATGAGATCGAATCGCGAGAAGTATATCTCGTTGAGAAAGGAATCAACCCTGCTCAATTTAACGGAGATCCGCGATTGTCCGGAGATTAGCGAAAGATGCTGGTCGAATACACGGACAAGGTCACTACCTGTGGGTGGATCTTTCGGGGATGAATCGGATAGTGGATCTGGTTCCCGAAGTGGGTGGTGTCAACGACACGGGGTGGTAAGCAAGACGGATCACTACTCTCGAGACAACGTTACGAACGTACCGCACCCCATTAAACGTTCGTATATACGTCGTGTTACTTATCAGACGAAAGTCTTTCGGAAATTAACTAAAGAATATGGAGTATTTTTATCTTAAACTGCAGAATATAATTTAATCGACTGTGCGATACCAATGTCGCAAAGTAAATATTAATTTTCTATATATTATTCGATATATTCAGTGTATAAAATAATATATTTTTTATTATTAACGGACATTATATAAACAGGGATCTGAAAAAAAAGTTTAATTTTAGAACATTATAATAAAAATATATAACGTGAAGACAATAGTGGACTCGCTGTTGATGCATAATAATAGAAATCAGCGATTAATTATTCGTTTGTTTCAGCTATATTTTTTTATCATAGCACATTTTTTATCTGTGGAAAATTAAAAGTGTGTCATATAAGAGTTAAAAAAATCATTGAGAATATTTAGCATTTTTTGAATTAAAGCCTTGTAGATATAAAATTCTTTGAATATTAGATTCGATCATTGAAATTTACGAGAATATGTGAAACGCGATATTTTGAAATGGAAAAATTGAGCTTTTCTTTGCTTTAATATAATATGATAAAGCATTTTCGGATAAATGCAATTTTTCTATCTACTTTGAGACACATATATAGATTTTATATAGAATACGCATAACTCTTCGAAATAAAAAAATTTCGGTGCATTATTTTTTTGATGGTAGATTTCTCGAAATCTAAAGAAAATCAATTGAAACTAAATTCTCCTCGATAAAAATATGACTGTAAAGATAGAGGCAATTGTTCCCTCTCCTCCTCCGACACGCAAGGAATATACGAGCTAACGCAATGAGAACGCCTGGCAAAACGTTACGACCGCGTCACGTTGCGTATCATTGTAACGCGGGCAAATGAACCTATTCGCCGGCCGACACGCACGCAACAGTGTTACATGCACGTGCGTCCCCGTAAACATTACCGCGGTCCGAGGTAAAACGAGTACCAGGCGAATCAATTGTCAGTAAAGTGATTTACGGTCGTCGCAGCGTCGATCAATTTGCCGCTCGATGCGACGCGGCGTCCGCGTGTTTCGCGTGACTTTTAACTCTTCCCTCTTTTTCCTCCACCAGCTCCCTTGTCACCAGCTCAAAAACAAATTGCGGATCCGAATGAGAAACGAAGGAGATCTCTGATCGATTTATTTCCGGAATCTGTCTCTCGTGAAGAAACAACTATTTTTCCGAGAAGCTTACGTCTTCTTCGTTATTGCTTTATGAGCCAGAAAAAAGAAGCTGCGATTATTAATTTCCAAAAAACGATGAAGTTATCTTACTGACATGTAGATAAATTTAAGAATCGACTGGTTTTCATCACGACGAACATGACGAATTTAGATCTTTCGTGCGATTCTACACGTCAAGGCGCGCTTAACCCATTTCTAGACGAAATTTTTTGTTCCACCGTATAGGCAACGAACATCGAATTAAGGAAAGCAATTACAGATAATGGTCCCAGCGGCACCCAGCGCCAGGACTGCGAAGGACTTGGTAAGCAAGAAAGAGAGGGAGAAAGAAAGTAAAGCGGAACTGCGCAAAGGGCGGAGGGGAAGAGCAAGGGAGAAGCCTATCTAAGAGAGATACGAATGTACAGGGTGGTCATTAAGCAGCTGCAGCTTTCTTTTCTCTCCGTTCTTGCGAATATCTCTCTCAGTTCTCGACCCTGTACTCCGACTTCCTTTTCTCCCTTCTCTCCGTCCCTCTTGTTCTCATCATCTTCCTCTTCCCGTGTCCCGCCCTCCCTACTTCCTCTCCCCTCGATTCTCATCTTTTTGGACATTAAGCCGTAGCGCGTGCGGTAATTTTCCTGAGGTCATTTTTGCCGCTCTTCTTGCCCGATCGTTAACTTCACTTAGCTCTGTGTTTACCCCCGTCGTCATTTTTCTCAGCCTCCATCCCCTTCCCTCTCTGCCGCCTCTCTTCTCCCATCAAGAGCGGCTTCTTCCCCATATTTCGCCCTTTCATATTCCTATCCGGTCTCGCATTTCCACGACCTCGTCAGACGTCGCCCACGAAGCTCCCACGTCTTTCCACGTGCGCGCTTTTCCTTTCCATTTCCGTTTTTTATTATCGCATATAACCTTGTCTGACGGACGTCTTTTTTCACGGTTCAGAGAGAAAGAATAATTAGCGCCACACTGTCCATTCCCGTTCCTTTGGGTCCGCTCGTTCGTTTCATCAACATTATCCCTTTATCGTCGCGAAGCATCGGATGATAAATCACTGATGAAAAGTCCCCGTCGGTTTCGGGGGGCGACTTTAATTTCTGATATCAAAAAATGTGAAATCAGAAATCCAGGACTTTTGAAAACTCCGATTTAAGTGTAATCAAAAAGTTTCGAAATCAGTTTTAAAAATGAACTCCATCGGTTATTAAACTTAATCGTCTTTGAAATAAATTTGTTCTACATTTAAATTTATACTCGAATCGGCAGCTCTACCATTGTTGAAACATTTTTCAATATTTTTCGGGATACATTATAACAGCAAATGCCAATGGCATATGCAAGATATGCACAGAATTCGGAAATAATAAATAATAAATGTGATTGTCGAAATTTTCTTGATTTTACAGTTATTTATTGTATACTATCAATTTTAGATGAAGAAATGTTTACGAGATATCTAGTCGCTTGAAAACTTGTGCAGATTTTAAACAGATTGTACTTGACGGAAAGGAGATTGTTTGAGGGATTGCTAGTCACTCGTGCGATGCTTATTTCCTTCTTACTTTGTGCGCGTATATAAATCTTAAAATTGAATAGTAAAATGCAGTATATAAGTTTTTCAACCAGCTCTTGTTTACAAAAATACATATAATAGAAAAATAAAATTTAGAGAGAGAGAGAGAGAGAGAGAGAGAGAGAGAGAGAGAGAGAGAGAGAGAGAGAGAGTTTAAATGGAACAATATCAGAAAATATCCACATAGAAGTAATCATTAAATATTATAATTTCAGGGTATTGCATTGAACTTTTTTTTTATTAAAGACAATTTTTAAAATTGATATATTTTACAATATTTTTCATAATTATATTTAATTTATAGTAAAATTGTGTGGCAGTGTTTATTTTTTTCTTTTCATGTGTATAAATTTTAAAATTGAATCTAATAATTATGTAGTAAATAATCAGTTCCAAATTACAACTTTTTGAAAAAAATACAGTTCTATTTGAGAGAAACGAAATTTACACAAATTAAAAGTTCTACTTACAATGTAGCAAAAATCACTGAATATTTTAAATCTCTTGAAAAAAATAAAACACTTTGAACTTTTTACAATTTCAAATTAGAAATTTTTTACAAATGATTTTATATTTAAAATATTTTATATATAGATAAAATAATTATATAAAAATTAATGCTATGTATAATTCCGAAAACAAAAGCTAATAAATAAAGATAAAATTTGTTATGAATGAGAATGTTATTAATTTATGTGTATGAGTATAATTAATCGCGCTTCCAATTTTCAAAGTGATTAAAAATATAGTAATGTAAATCTATAATAAATTAAATATAACTGGAAAATATAAAATATTTTAAATATTTTGTTTCATTACAATATTTTATACTTTTATATAAATTAATAACATTCTCTTTTATAATAAATTTTATCTGTATTTATTAGCTTTTATTGTCAGAATTATACATAGCATTAATTTTTTTATAATTATTTCCTCTATGTATAATTACTTTTTATTTCATTTATTTCAAAGTATGTACGGAATGAATATTTTATTATTCTGTCGTTTTATTTTATCTATAAAAATGATTAAAAAATTTTAAACAACTCAATTTCCCTCCTATTACATCTATCTGAAGCTTGTCAATTAATCCGGATAGCTGCGAGTGTAAATGCGGGCTGTGCGTCTTACAGCGGATTGATCCCGAGGCAAGGTCGCTGGGATAATTCGGTCGAGCCCGCGGCGCTCGTCGAATTAAAGCGGCGATCTAAGGGCAAGTCTCGAGGAAGATAACGCATTCGTATCAGATAAAGGGTTCCATCGCGCCGCGCGACGTTTCCTACAACAATTGAGATTAGAACTTACCGAAATCTTCCGAAGGGTCGCTTCCGAAGGGACGATCCGGATCGCAACCTCCCTTTCCTCGCTCCTTGTCGGAACGTTTATTACTCGATTCAAGATGCTCGAGGTCGCCGCAGGACTCGGTCCTTTCGGCCCGACTATGCAAGCAGGCCCGAGAGAGCCAATTCACTTCGCATCGTGGGATTGCGGAGTGGTAATTGCTGTCCGATTTCACCCCGACACGCACCATCGAGCGTGCCATCGTACGCGTGTATACACGCGCATGATGTATGTATACAGGCGCGCACCGTATTGCACGCAAATGCGAAAGGAAGGATCGATCGAACGATAATCTCTCTCTAAATT